CAGAAATGGTACCAGCCCATGGGCACTCTGTGTTCATTCACCCCCTACTATAGGAGGGTCTCCCCAAATCACCAACATTGATGACAGGCAAATGTCACGACCACACAGTGGTGGCCTAAGGAAAAAAACATGGGACAAGGCAAGCTTTTGTGAAGAAAAATGAATAAATAAGTTGTTTTAGTCCACTTAGCTCACTAAAGAAACTCTGACTCAATATTAAACTGCTATACTCAACATACCACTGAGAATACCAAAGAAAATATTGCCTGGGGAGATACATGTTCAAACCTTCTCTTCTGCAGCTGCTATCAATTATTCTGCCCTAATGTGACCAGAAATCTCAGTTTTCAATAGAGAAATATGAGTTGTAAAAGAATCCTTATTGAGCACCCTTACATTCCCCTCCCCACCCCCACTTCTTGATTCTGTTTTGCTTTTCAAACATTTGAGTGTCCACATACTTTGTATCCCAGCCCTCTGGGAAGTTAAAAAAGCCAACTTAGTTATGTTTTAGGGCACAGGAGAGATTTTGTGGCTTTCAGAGATTCTCCGTTGGATTACAAAAGCTCATAAAAGGGTACCTTCACCTTAAATGTTATATAAACAGAGTTCTGACTGTGTGTGTGATTTACACTCTTATTGAAGATCTTGAATCTTCTTTTTTTCCATGCTGGAAGATAAGTGAAGGACAAAAAAGCTATTTAGAACAGTTAACCTGATCATTTTTTAAAAGATGTGTGCAAATCATTGAGGCTGGGATCTCGTTTGTCAACCAAATTGTCAGGAAATAATTTATTACTGACAAGAACAAAGTGTGCAGCTGGATACCCCAAACAACGGCATGCTAAATGAGCCAGAGACTTGTTATAAATATCTTCCCCAGGACTGCATTTCCTGTACTCTAAAATTATTCTAGAAGCAGCATGGTATAATCGAAAAAAGAACAGTAGTGGGCCTTGGATGTTGGGGTTTTCTTTTAGCTGTTCTAATAACTAGCTTTGTATCCAGTGATTCCACCTCCTGCTTTTTGTAAAATAAAATAAAATAATAAGTGTATATTCCTGATGATCTCTGAATTTCCTTCAAGCCCTAAAATTCTATACTGACAACACTGATATCTTACCACAGGGAACGTTGCCACTTAAACGCTATACAAATTAATCTATGCTCACACAAAAGATAGGAAAACAGATCTTTTAAAAAAAGGAAATAAAGGGCTGTTGTAAAATAGCCTTTTTGATTTCTGCATGAATTATATAATCAAGAAGTTATTCTTTTGGTGCAGTTAGTATGGTAAATTCAAGAAGTGAAAGGAAGTTAATAACAAAAAGAGACAAAGAAATTAGAAATTAAGACTTCACTTTACAAAACAGATTCTTAAACATGAAATGGTAACAAACTAAACCTCTCTTCTTTAAATCTCTCAGCCTTTTGCTCTTGTTATGTTCCCCCTTGTTTCACAGGTTTCTGCGTCTCTGTCTTCTCTTCAAGAATCTAAGCTGCTATATGGCGGAGGACCTACCTCATTCACGTGCAGACCTTCACAGTGCTTTGCCCAGAAAGGCACTCAATAAATATGTAGTAAATCACATTCTGTTTTCAATGTATTGGACGAATGTGGTAAATACTTAGCTGGAGTAATCAATCCAACTCAACGCAGCTTTTTGTAAATTTGAATTTTAGATAAATCCCTACATTTCTTTCCCTTATAAATGACAAGGAGGACTATGGTTTCATACAGAACCTGTGAAAAATCTAATCACTAAGAGAAGAGTTTTCTTATCGTGAAAGAAAGAAAACTATTAAATTGTAAGCATGTAGTTTTATTCTGATTTATTAGAATTTCTCTATCACTCATCCACTTATTTATGCATTCGTCATATATTTAATGGGTATCAGATACGCCAAACTTTTGTTTATAGCACTATAAAAAAGATATAGCTCCTTCTCTCAAGAGTACAGTGTTTATAGTCTACAGAGAAGGAGCGTCAGTCACAGTACAGTGGGATAACTGTGGTGATTTTGATATGCATACAACGTGTCATAGCATGTAAGGACACCTGAGTGAATGTTGAAGAATCATTGGAAGCTTCTCAGAAGAGGAGTTAGCTAAGCCGATTAGCACAGGCCAAATTTAGGTCAGTCAGGACAAGGGTCTACAACCTGATTGAAGAAACTCTGCATATCACTTACAATATGCCAGGTATTCTTCTAAATACTTAAAAATAGTAACTCCTCTAATACATCAATCATAGGAGGGAATGATTACTATTCCCATTTTACAAATTAGGAACACAAGGCACAAAGACGATAAGTAACTTCAAAATGCAAATAGCTAACAGGTGGCAATACTGGGATTTGAACCCAGACATTCTCAGGTAAGAGTTTAGGCTCTTAGAATTCCTGATTATATGCTGCTGCTCTAAGGCCAGAGGTTAGAGAGCCTGGGTCCTCTTTCCTCACATCTTCCCCATTTATTCCCTACCTCAGCATTCTATGTGTTCGATTTCGCAACACCTTGCTTGTCTGTGTCCTTGCACGCTGTCTGTCTTCCTTATTACATTGCAAGCATTGCCTGAGCAAGGACTCTGAGAACTCACTGAGGGGTTTTAAGCAGGAAAGTCATGTGGTCAAATGTGTACTCCATAAAGAGCACTCTGAAATAGAGGAAAAGGATGTCATTTTCAGTATAATATCTATGATTTATCTGTTATTAAACTGGAGGTTTCAGCCCCAGTACATGCCAGAGTTTGTAGATAGACCAAGAAGCAAAAATGTTTGAAAGTGAGTGGTTGAGGTCTTTTAGATGACACTTAAATGCCTCAACCACATCAAAGGTATAAAAGGGCCTGGGATTGGAGATTCGAAGATAGTTTTTGAAGAGGAGAGGATTTATTTGAAGAGGTCTTTGCTCCAAGTCACAACCACCCTATCTCTGCTCCAAGGGAGTGGGAGACACCCCCAACCTCGAGCCCATAAACTAAAGGAAGAATTTTCTGGAGAGAGCAATACCAGGTGCTGTGCCCTCAACTCATGCCTATGAATAACGACTTCAACAGGACTGCTCCAAGAACTTAATTTTGTCCTCTGTAGTTTAGGTTGGTATCTAAATTCTGCCTGAATACCTAGAGAGCATGAGACAGGCTGATTAACTTTTCTGACGGAATGCAAAGGAAACGTGCTGAGAAGGTAGCAGGTCTGGAGTCCCTGGAACCCAGAATGTGTAAGTATAGAGCAAAGACCGGGACAAGGCAGTGTATGAGATGCCCACACAAAGCTGAGCCAGCCAAGGCTGTCCTAGGTTCTTCTAAGACGAGTGCCCAGGGAATCACTCACACCTTGAGAGAAGCTAAAGGTTTTGCTAGCTGTACAGAGACTAATGGATCAGCCTAAGCAGGAAAGCACAGGTGAGAGAGCCTCACTGATCTGGGGGCAGACAGGAGGAGGGGTCTTCCAAGAACCCATGAAAGCACCCATGGCAGAATCAGTCTGCTTCACCTACCTGTCAAGTCCAGAGAGTGATGACGATCACCAGGCAAGTTTCAGGCAAGAGAGAACTTCCCCGCCAGACAGATTCAAATGTGACAATGTCTTAAGACTTAAAGTAAAGGTGGTCCTCTTCATTATTTTAATATGACCAGATAATTTCATGGAGGCTGCCAATCATTATAAAGGGAAGAGCTTCCCCAACTGAATCCATTTAAAGGGACAGTGAGGAACAAAACTAAAGATGCTCTATGATTACATTAGTTAATCACACTAGAGATATACCCAAGGTATCCTGCCCCAATCCTGTCAAAAGCCAGAGCTATGACCTGTAAGAGCTTCAGAAACTCCAGGCTGGGTGTGGTGGCTGACGCCTGTAATCCCAGCACTTTGGGAGCCTGAGGCGGGTGGATCACGAGGTCAGGAGTTCAAGACCAGCCTGGCCAAGATGGTGAAACCCTGTCTCTACCAAAAATACAAAAATTAGTCAGGCGTGGTGGCAGGTGCCTGTAATCCCAGCTACTCAGGAGGCTGAGGCAGGGAATTGCTTGAACCTGGGAGGGCAGGTTGCACTGAGCTGAGATCATGTCACTGCATTCCAGCCTAGGCAAAAGAGCAAGATTCTGTCTCTTTTTTTTTTTTTTCCCCAAAGGAATTGAGTTACTTTATTTAACATGTAATAGACAGTCATAAAGCAAGTCCATATATTTAGTTTTCTGATATCCTAACGCATTTCCACAAACTTTTTAAGTCTACAACTTTATATAGGTTTCCATCAGGGAGACAAATATATATACTTTCTTTTTATATTTAACTAATTAAAGGTTTTAAGAGGGTTTACTCTATAAATCAGTAACAATTTAGTCATAACACCATATAAACACATTTAAATATTCAAGAAAGAGGTTTTTAAGATTATTGCTTAGTGTTACAAAATGGTGAATTTTAACCAGATTGATACCTCTGTATTCTTATTTATGTTTCCTGTACTTTTACATCATACTGCTTGGCAAGTAATGTAAGTTTTGATGTAATTTAAACATTCAAGTAGCTGTAAACAAATTCTAATTTGTTAAACCATTCATATATTTCCCTTTACTTACTACACTATCCCAGATTTAATCCTCCTTTAAAAAGTAATCCTTCCACATAGAAAAAAAACTGCAGAGCATCATCTCTTCCTGAAATATTTTCAAGTACTGTAAAAACACAAATCCATGAAAAAAATGATTAAAATTTGACATTTCATCTTGCTTTACTAATTTTGGAATAGAAAGATGTAAAAAACATGTTCCTTAATATTTCTCTGCTTAACAAAGAAATACAAAGAAATACTGTAATTATGGTTATGGGCTATTTTCCAGCCTCTTCAAGTACAGGACACAACTGTGGTTCCTACCATTAAAGAGAAATGAATAATCAATCTTCAATTATACAAAAGAAAGATGAGAGGCACAAAAAGACAGACTAACTTTGGCTTTTAAGAACCTAATGTTAACCCTGAAATGCCAGATTCAGTAACAGAACAACAAAAGATTACAGCAGCAAGCCACCACTTCACACAGTATTAAGAATTCTGAAACATGTAATAGCCTTCCTCCCATCTCCCACTCAATCTGTTGTGTCTCCTTTTTGTTTTTCGCTGCAGGCAGTTCGAGGCTTGCCCACTGCATTGGTTCAGCTTGTCTCACAGTGATCTCAATCTTTGTTGCAGTCATAGTCACATAACTTCGCTTTACATCAATCACACCCCATAATTTCACATTTTGATCAAATTCCTTCTCTCCTTCAAATACAATGTGCACATTTAACAATGTGCTATTTGCTTCTACTCGACTAAGTTCTGGAAGTGAATTTTTAGCATACACTGAAATGGTAACTTCACCTCCAGTCTGATGCCAGTCATGTCTACACGGAACAACTTTTTTCCCGGCATCCTTTTTAGTCCACATGTGTTTCCCTGTTGTACAGCCCTCTTGGGCTAAGAATGTATTAAAATCAGAAGTTTTTCTTCTACAACAGCTCCAGTATTTTATCCCCTCATGGAAAATAGGTACTCCAGAATGATACACACAGACTTCTTCTAGACTCTCTAGACCCCGATACGTCTTTGAACACCCTCCATTCTTACATGAGGTCCCAATCTTAATTTCATCATTGTCTTCTTCTTTCTTATATTCTTCATTCCCTGATGACAGTTTATCAAGTGCTTGTTTTAGGGAGGCAGATATTTTTAATTCCAAATTTGTCATTGGTTCATCTGGGCTTGGCCTTTTTATAGCTTCTACTGGCTTAGGGGCTTGAATGATGTGTTCCCGAAATTTCGGTTTCAATTCAGATAGTTCCTTCTTCTCAGTAGTCTTGACTTCAGGTTTGACTGGCTCAGGTGGCTTCTCACTATTATGTCTACCTTTTGTACAGCCAACAATACTTAAGAAATCAGAAAAATCAGTTGTTCTTCTCTTACAGCACGACCAACCCTTTAAGGCATCATGAAAGACTGGAACACCTGGGTGGTATGTGCAAGCCTCGTCGGAATTGGTCTCGGAATCAAAGCGCTGCCCGCAGCCGCGGTTGTAGCACAGCAAGGACATTTTCAGTTCCCACCGTCACGCGCAAGGCCAAAACACAGGGAACGGCGAGAGGATGCGTCGGCCACTCCCGTGTCCCCAGCACCGGTCTAAGATTCCGTCTCTTCAAAAAAAAAAAAAAAAAAAAAAAAATAGAAACTCCAGTCACCTCTCAAATTGCCCAGGAAATCCCAGGTGCAACTCTAAGATATGCGCAAAGTTTTTTTTAAATCTGCGGGTTTCCTGCAGCAAATTGCCCCATTCAACCTGTGATCTTGAAGCCTCAGTGCTCTCTCCTAGTCTCAGCCTGAGGGCCTGACACAGCAGGCTTCTCTATGAGGTTACTACTGAGGGCTGAGGACACTCACACCACTCTCTGGCCCATGCACAAGGAACAGGATCTAAGCCACACCGTGCTGGACTTTCAAACCCACGCCAGGCCTGCCTGCATCTTCAGCCTCACCACTTGCCACGTGGTTTCCAACTTTGTTCCTGCAATACAATTACTAGTACTACGCAGAGTTGCTTCAACAAAGGAGAATTTTAGCTCCTTTACTCTTGATTCTCCGGCACCCTTGGGCAATTCCACTGCTGCTCCTACATCTAGAACCCTCTCTGCTCCAACCTGCCTTTATCTGGAAGTACGTGTGTGATTGTGAGCATGACTCCCGCAAAACAGGCTGGCTCCGGATCGGACTTCCTCTACTAAGTATTTTTCTGACCTTAGGTAAGAGACAGTCTTTGTAACCTCAACTTCCTTATCTGTACAATGAAGATAATAATATTATTTATCCCGTTAGGTTGTGGTAAGGATTCAATGACATGAACAAAAATATTTAGCCTCTGGCCTGGCATATTTAAGTATTCAATAAACATTTCTTGAACAAATTAAGTGAGCAAGTGGGCCCTGGTCTATCTGGTTTCCTCATATTGGAAAGCTGTTCCCTCTACCGTCTGCCCGGAAAACTCCTACTGACCTGCAAAACCTGGACCAAGTGACTGGGTTTATTACTGAGAATGTGTAAACTCATTATATTGACATCTTGAGTTCCAAGATACATTAAGTGAGGAAACTGCAACTTGGCACCTTCATGAAAAAAATGATCACATTAACTTTTGTGTGGAAAGAAAAGGAAATAACACGTGATAAGTATGTGTGTGCATTGCTGCTAAGTGGAAACACTGAAAGAATAAACCAGAACCTGCTAATAATCTGTTTGAATTCATCTTTCATCAAGGATAAGGTCTTCTTTAAGCATGCATACACGTGATACAGAGGTTTATACACTGGGGTCATTTATTGTTTAAGACTGTAATTCAATGTGAACCAAACCACTAGGTGACTCAGTTAAATTTATTTAAAAACCCGTTTTACCAGAAGCAGAGGAGGAGAAGGAGAGGGAAAACAGAATTTGTCTTGTGCCAAGCACCAAGTTAAGCACTTTATATCCATGAATTCATGAGATCGTCACGGTCCTGCAAGGCAGTTGCCGTCTTGCGAATGAGAAAACTGGTGGGCCAGAGTCAGGCAGCTAGTTAAGTGTAAAGCTGGAGTTCAAACTTACCTAGGAGTTGCAACCCCTTCTTTCCAGTCACATAGAGTAGCCTCTTGCCAAGTTTGGTACTTAACACAGAGTGGATCCGCCCAACTTGTACTTCATCATTATACTTACTGATAAAAACATTCAACAGTACCACCCCAGTACAGAGGCTTGTTGCAAACCCACAGAGAGAGACACCCCCCCACCCCGCCCTGACACTGGACACAAATTCTTTTACGGTGGTTCTTGGATACAGGTCTTCAGCCAGTTATGAATTCACATAAACTCACCATCTTTTATTTCCACATATTTCTCATGTATAACCTAAGACTCCATGAAATTCTACACTGAAGACTACAAAAATTCAATGAATTTATTTTGGCATGAATTGTTTTAATAAGTCATTATTGATTTCTAATTATCACTACTTTCTATATTCAGTACTCACAGTCACGAATACCAGCTGATAAGCTTAATACGATTTTCTAGAAAGTTTTCAAAAAATTATGTTAAGGTCACCAGCATCTCTTTTTTGCCTGCAATCTACTTAAAAAGAAAACTGCCTTTTTCTGGAACAATATTAACTTATATCTATTTTTCAAGGGTAAGGAAGAGACATTTCCCATTTTCCATAGCTTTCCTTATTTTAGAGAACAAACAGATTTTGCAAACCAAATATGCAAAATTTCTATGTTATAAAAATGAAATTCTCTATGTTTACGTACTTAACATGAAATAAAGAAAATGAATGTTTTCCTACCATCACTTTACCAACTTTGGGTTTCAGTTTCGTTATACTGGTCAGGTTTGTCTGCTCCTTTCAAATGTGAAGATCCTTGACAGAGAAGATACAAAGAAATCAATAATTATACATTCTCTGTGATATGTTTTTAAAGTAACACTATCTGTGCCAGGACCAGTTCTTCATTGCTCTACTTTCTCTGAATATTGCTTTTTTTTTTAATTTTACGTTAGGTGCATACTATATTTGGCATTTCTCCCTCAGGTTATACCACCCCACCCTCCCTACCTGAATATTACTTTATAAATCATTTTTGTGTTAATCAGTATTTTTCACAAGCCTCAGATCATTTCTAGTTTTATACTTGTTAAGAGCTCTGAGGTACTTTTGTCGTTGTTATTGGTCTGTGATAATGTGTCCCTCCACCCATCTTATTTATCCACCCTTTTGAACTCTGGCATCAAGGATGAGTGAAGTCATACAAGTGAAAATGTTTCTGTAAGCCAATGTTATTACAGCCTTAAATTTAAATGGCACAGTCCAATTGGTAGAAGAACTTAGGGTTTGAAAATATTACTAAAACATCGTAACACTAGCACATCCTTCTCTGCTTCCCTTTCTCCTGTTTTTCATTCCCTGTAATTCATGAATGATGACATTGAGAATCAATCTTCTAAACAGAGCCTATCAACAGAAATATTACAGTGGGAAGAGGGTATCTCTGTTTCTATAACCTAGACACTCACTCATCAGATGCTTGTAGACAGGGTCACTTTTATAATTGTCAGTTGGAAAGTTGGCATCCCTTTTTCAGAGGTGGACTAATTTGTTTTGAAAACCAGATTTTGGAAGAGTCTAACTATAGGGCAGAAACAAATCATTCGCGGGGCTGGGAAGATTATTTGCTCTCCTGGGACCACTTTTATTCACTTATCCTACATCTTCCTGAGTGTCATATGGGATTCAGTTCATCTTTCTTCTCTTGTGAAGAATCTAGGTTGAAATTTCAGTATTTAAAGGGAGATGAGTAGGAATTCAGTTGCCTTAAACCCAGAAAGCCATCGATTTACTTATTTAATCTTGTTCAAATCACTGTGTTTTGAAAACAAAACTAATAGTAAAAAGAGTTACAAAAGATATGTTTCCTAGACCAGATTTAAATGAAAAACTCTTTTTTATTCTTAAGAGACAATCCTCCTTGCTATACTGCATCCAAGAAGCCACAATTTCTTCCTCAGCTGAGACATCATCATCTCTGCTTTGACGTGTCTTACAACCAAGCAAGTTTTTGCAAAAGGATTAAGAATAGTCAAGGCACTATGTAAAGCATGAGCAGCCCTCCTGTTGTGGGTATTGACTTTGACACCCAGTTCCCTGGACTGTGCTGTTGTAAGTGGTGCCTTTTTCAAAGCCCTTTTCCATATCCATGCACAGGTGGCAAGGGAGTTAGGGTCTACTGTCATTTCCATTTCCTGCTCCCTGTGAATATTCTCTTTCTATCCTTTAGTCTCAGATTAAAATAGAAGACTCCCAAGGAGTAAAAAGCTCATTAGCCGAGAGTATTTCTATTTCTAAGACAGAATCTGTTTATTTCATGAGAGAATAAATTGATAGTAGTTAATGTCTAATAGAGAAAACTGTCCTTTGGACTGGGCTACATCAAGGCTGCTGTAGGAATGAATCATAAATTGAACTCCCATTTTTTTATATCTGCATACCTTTACAATGTGTTGCCTTTTCCTGACTAAGCAGATTGCTCAATGTTAACAATGTGAAGGAATGAAAACAGAAATCTATCCAAGGACAATAAGAGCCTTGTAGCAAGTTTGCATTACTAATGCCCAGCAATGTGTACTGCCTGGCTAGTACATAGTATATTTGTGGAATTAATTCCTTTCTTGATTTATTTTGTTTCTACAGACAAGAAATGAGGGGGCATTGACAAGGTCTCTTGAAAAGTAAGACACCAAGAAAATAAGATTACCTTCTCCCACTTACACTCAAAAATAAGCAAAATAGGTCAAAACAAACAAACTTGAATTTCTCAATGGCTCACAGCCTTACAAATCTAGTGCTCTCTCACACACTATATAATTTTGAAGAATTTGTATAACTTCTTTGAGACTTTCTTTTCCCGTGTATAAAATGAAGAGGTTAATCTAAAATATCTCTAAGCTTCTTCTCAATTCAAGGATACAATGTTTCCAAAGCAACTCCCATAAATGTCTTGAAAAGTATTGTCCAGCAGTAATTTTTATGGGAAGTCTCTCCCTTTGAAGAGAATACACCATTTCAGGTGTCGTATGTTTCAGGGTACTCTACTTCCCACGTCAGGAGCTCAATAATGTTTTCTACTATCCATTTATATGCCTGCCCTCCCTTTGTTAGCATTTGGTTCCTTTTATGAATCAATTAAAGAGTTCAAAGGGGTAAAGTGACCTGTCCAAAGTCACACAAAGTACCTAGGGATGAGGTCTAGATTTTTGTTTTGTTTTCTTTCCCAAGTTTCTCTTTGTGTTAAATGTGACCTTATTAAATGGTGTCATATTTATCACCATGACAAGACTTTCTGGGTTCCTGCTGGGCACACAGTAAGTTACCAGACCCCATGGGAATTTATGGGGCTCATGAAAGGCATGACTCCCACACAGGAGCTTTCAATCTAAAATAATCCCATCTGTTTGACCTTTTGAGTATAGTATGTAAACATCTCTTTGTCCTTCACTAAGTAAATAATATCACTATAGTTCAATTTAAATAGTCTTTACAGATGAAGAAACAGAGATTCAAAAGAAGTTAATTTGTCCAAGACCATAAGTCTAGAAAT